TCATCTTTTTCACTAGCTCCAGACCTCACTCAGCTGAACCTCAAGGGGTTGGGGCTGCCCAAAACCTTTACAGAAAACTTCTTGAGCATAATTGTGTATAACCTGTGGCCATCTGCCAAAGTCTTAAGAGTTATTGCACTAAAATTGTAGTTGATTATATCTCTTTCCTACTCAAAAAAATGTGTAATGCTTCCTTTTCCACCCTCACTGCCTCCTGGATAAAGTTCAACCCTTCTTCCTCCATTATTCCCTAGAAAACTTTCCTTTGTGGTCCAGTTGGTCCACTCATTGGATCCCAAACTGAGGAGACCTTGCAGATAGTTCTGGTCTCCTTGCCTTTGCTCATGCTCATCCCCTTTCTTGGAACATCGTCCTCACTTCTCTCAACAAGCCTATTTAGTGCACATGTCCCAGGCCAGCCACCATTTTACCTCCTCTATAAAGTCTTCCCTTGAAGTGACCTCTAACCTCTGAGAGGTCTTGTATTGTTCCTCAGTAGGATAATAAAGCCCTGTGATGCTGTGGTGGCCCTTCATTGTGGCCTTGACCTGTTATTTTACTGTGTTCTGTCACTCAGTGTTCCTCGAGTCTATAAGGTCCCTAGCAAGACTATGACCTAACATGGAAGGGTCAGTTTGTGTCCCAAGAAGTGTCCTAGAGGACCCTTTGGGAGGACACTTTGCATGTCCTCCATGATGTGATTTATAGGACCAAGCTAGAAATGAGAAAAGTTGCTCCCTTTGTCTCTTTATGAAGATTTGGCACATTTGGTGCTCCAAATATTGAACAGAACCAAGGCAGCTACTTTGGGGAAAAGGGGTATTATTTTTCACTGGTGAGAATAGATTAACCCAACTTCCTTTTCTTTTTAAGAAAAACCATAAATCAAAAAGGAAAAAAAAAAAACCTCTATGTGACCCTGTCTTGGTTCTCTGGGAACAGCCTAATCTGGCCTCAATCCCAAAAGGGGGGGAAAAACAATTTTTCAAAATGCTACTGGGCCTACACATTTGAGTTCAGTTCAGGTTTTTAGAAAAATGAACTATGATTCATGTGCGCATGCACGTGTGTGTATGTGCGTGTGTAATGGTACCTGCCTCTGTGTAGCCTGTGTGCTGATGTGTGTGTGTCCAAATATCTGGTTATGCTGCTCTTGAACTTTCCCTGAGTTGAAAACAGGCCTGGAATGGTGCAGGGGGAGCGCTGGGTGGTCCACTGGACGCCAGGATCCAATGCTCTCACCAGAATCCAACCCTGTGAACACCCTGATCTCCGACTCTCAGCCCGAGATAAAGAAGCATCTGCTGTCTGAACCACCCAGGCTGTGGTGCTCTGTTACGGCAGCCCGAGCTGACCAGGTATGACTTTAGGACCTGAATGCTGGGAAGTGGAGACTGGGTTCAGGAATGAGTTCCTGCTGTGGGGAGGTGGAAGCTTGGTGGGGGGATCAGAACGCTCCCAGACTCACGTCTCCCTGGGCTGGCTGAGACAGGTAACTTCCTCAGACAATCTGCTTCGGAGGAAGCAGTGATTTCGGGTCCAGACGTGCACTTTAGCTCCCACTGTGTAATTAGAGGATGTACAGCAATGGGCAGCTGGGCCCGTGGCGGGCCTGGCACTCAGATCGCGGTCTGTGGTAATGCTTGGTCCATGTCTGGCTACGTAGTGGCTCAGCTGAACTCGGGTTCCTTCCCTCCCTGTCGGAGGGGATGCATGTTCTTACAATCTTCCTCCAGGGAAGGTGGACTGGGGGGAGAAATAACTGAGTCCCCAGGGTTACCGTGAGACCTGTCTCAGCCTCCCTTCATCCAGGAGTCTTCCCCATCCTTTCCAGTCACCCCCGCCCATTGTTCTTGCACAGCTGAATTTCTTTTTCTTTCTGTCTTTTTAAATGGAGCAGATGTATATTTTCTTTGTTTTTGTTTTATTTATTTTGAGAGAGAGAGAGAGACAGACAGCATGAGCAGGTGAAAGAGAGAGACTCCCAAGCAGGCTCTGCACTGTCAATGTGGAGCCCAATGTGGGGCTTGAACTCATAAACTACAAGATACAGACCTGAGCCAAAACCAAGAGATTGGATGCTTAAGTGACTGAGCCACCCAGGTGCCCCACTACATAGCTGAATCTCTGGCTGATGAGTCTGTCCGGCCTGAAGAGCCCGGGACCAGAGCCTCCTGGCTGTGGTGGGTTTGGTCCCATGCGACTTCAGAGAATTGACTTGGTCTCCAACGTGGGGTCGTGGAAAGACGTTGTTTGGACAGGACCATCAGTAAGGAGCCTGGGTGGCCCTAAGCCTGGAGGAGTCCCACAGCCTGGAGGGGAGGCCTTTGTGGGATTTCTGACCTGAGTGAAGGTGTCAGTCCCCAAGCCCCCTACCCCAAGCTACAAAACCCTGTGCTCTGTGGAAATGATCTCCACCTTCTCTTTGTATACCTCCACCGCGAAGGCATTTTCTATAGCTCTGCCAGTGTAAGCAGGCTGTGTCGGGCTGCCTTTGAGAGACTAAATGGAGGTGGGGAAGACTGAGAAGAGGGAGAGAAAGATAATGGAGGGAGGTTCTAGAAACCTAGATGGTGATATTCAAGAAGTATCTGGCCCAAGGCCGGGGTGGTGGACACTTGGGCTGCCCTCCGCGTTGTGCTTTTGAGGTGGTGGTTTGGATGCCCCATATTCTGTACCTTCTAGGAAATGGGAGACCCTCAGGAATCTGGCCATCAGCCCAGGGGCTGCGGCCTGTCAGCCTCTCTCCTGTCTCCTCTCAGCCCAGCGGCCCCACCAGGCTTCCTCACAAACACCCATTCCCTGCTCCCTATTTGCCCCTGCCCCGGGAGGGGGGCACACTCAGAGGGACCATCCTGCCCAGAACTCTCCCCTGTGCGAGGGAGGGACTTATGCAGATCCGAGAGTCGGCTCCTCCAAGCTGCAAAGAGGTGTTGTCAGATTTGGCTGCCCTTTATTTTATTTATTTATTTTTAAAGTTTATTTATTTATTTATGTATTTATTTATTTAATTTTGAGAGAGAGAGCGCGCGCAAGCGCGCGTGCGCACGTGCCGTTGTGTACTTTCACGTGGCGGAGGGGTAGAGAAGGAAGGGGAGAGAATCGCCAGCAGGCTATGCGCTCAGCACAGAGCCCGAGTGGTGCTCAGTCTCACGACTTTCTATCACGACCTGAGTCAATACAAAGATTTGGTTGCACTTTAAAATGCTTGGTACAGGGGCACCTGTCTGGCTCAGTGGGTAGTGCATGATCTTGATCTCAGGGTCGTGAGTTGCAGCCCCATGTTAGAGGTAGAATTCACTTAAACAAAACAAAACAAAACAAAACAAAACAAAACAAAACAAAACAAAACAA